AGGAGACATCAACGATTGAGATGCTCTTTATCCGGCGACACCATCCTTGATCGACGGTCCAAGCTGCTTTAATCATTTTTTTTATTAATTTCTCGGTCCATACCGGAGAAAATAATGATTAAAACAAAATGTTTCGATTGGATCCACAGCTTTAAGTTTTTTTTTTTTTTTAATTGTGAATATGAGTGATGACAATTCGATATCATAACATTTTCAAAAGTATTACCGGTATTGACAAATTAAATTTATCATGAATACTCAAAGTTTAGGTGGTGAAGAAAACTGAATATAGCTCTATGATTATTTAACAAGTTTTTATATAATTGTATGATATTGTGATTAGTTCAATGACGAAGAGTGTCAATTAAAACTAAAAAAAACTTGAGAAATTTCAAAAAATGCCATTTTTCAAGTGCGATTTTACAAAAATCCCATATTTTTGAAATTTTTACAAAAATACCATTTTTCAAAATTATTCTTTTTTTATATTATTTATGTTTGGGTTAATTATGTTCTATTAGGATTTAGTTTTGAGTGTTTAGGAGGTTTTATGTGTCAAAACATTTTTTATGGTTTAGAATTTGAAGATATAGGTTTTATAAATCTATAATTAGTGGCATTTTTGTAAATAGACACCCCTAAGTGACATTTTTGCAAATATACACACAAAAAATGACATTTTTGTAATTGCCTCATTAAACTTCATATATCTCAACATTTTAAGAGATACCAAATCATTAAGAGGATCAGGATGATTTGTTAATTCCAAAAGACTCGGTCCAAAGTAAAAGGTTTCAACAAAAACTAATCTTGATTATATTAGTTCAACAACCAATTTTTATCATTGTGTGTTCACTTGTTTTTTTTTTTTAAATTACAAAAAAAATCTTTGTTAAAAAGAATATTAACATCTTTTATGTTTTGTCGAACATTTTTGAAAGATATAAACGTCGTAAACACTTCATATAAACGTCGTAAACACTTCATATAAACGGAGGGTTTCTCCTATTATTTGCGTCTAATGAATATTTAAAATGCTTAAAATTATGGTTTTGGTACTAAACACAAAATCGAAACCTATATTGTACGGAAATGATTGATGCACGAGCAGTCTCTCAGGCGTCATTCTCTCTCTCTGTCCTTTTGCATTGATGGATCAATATTGTGATAGAAGAACAAAACAAAACAGTGTGTTATGTTTTGATTTGTTGTTTCTGTCTATTTAAAGAAACAAAACTACAATTGAATTTTGATATCGTAAGAGCATGATTAATGGTTAAAAAACTCACTAACACCCACCATTGATCATGCTCTAAGTGGTAGAGTGGTTTTCTAAGCTTGAACTTGAATATGTTTATAACAAATTTTTCCTAAGATGGTTTCTCACGAGCGATGTAAAGTTTTACATGTCATTAGAATCGGAATTAGTTCATTAATCGTTTGTGCCATTAAGTTTTACACATGAATGATCTCAGAGATAAATAATTGAAAAAAATTGAGAAAATACCTTTTGGTTTTGAAATTTGAAAAATACATTATTTTTTATTTTTTTGAAAACTACACTTTTCAAAATATTAGTTTACTAAAATAACCTTATTAAACATGAATAATAATTTTATTTTTCTTATAGATTTATAGAAAAATAAAATAAATTTTTTGTGATGATAATATTATTCTAATATTTTTCCGAATTACTTGTTATATAATATATAATTTTCTAAGATTTTGATGTTATGAAAGATTGTATATATTTATGATTAATTGAACTATTAGGGTCGAAGACCAAACTATTTTTTGTTTGTTAAAACAATGGAAAGTACTGTATACTCTATAACAAATTTATTGGTTAAATAAAGTAATCAAATTGACAAAAAAAATTGATCTAGCAATACGGAATCTATGTTTCATCTAAAGTTCTTATGTACCTCTCTTTTTAGCAAAATGGCGATTCTTCTTTATATATGGCACATAAGATTTTTTTTTGTTTTAAGATTTTGCAATATTTCAATAAAGCTTACAAGATGCAACTATTACATGAAGATTGCTCATCCATAGACATTTGAAGGATCTGTTGTAGCAAAGAGTTGTCTTCATCTTGCCAGAGCCACCAATACAATTGAAATTCTTACTGGTTTGAGATTGATTTTTTTAACAAAGTTCTTTCGAACAGGAACATAGTAGAGTAATTTCCATTTGCTTAATCGCTTGAACTCACACCTACAGAACCAATCAACTTTTCACAAAATTCCTAATTTAATTTTCAAAATCTACATGTCTTGAATGGAAAAATTGGAAGGAAATATTTTACCACAAGCTTAGGGACATCTGTAACTACCAAAAGCATGAGATCCACTTGTATTTTCTCGGTTTGAATATCCAATCATAGTTGCATCTTGTAAGCTCGATTAACATCTTTATAATGATAAATTTTAAAGTTTAATCAACAAGATATCTTTATCTCAAAAATAAAATAAAAATATTAGTTTTTCGAATCTCTTTTAATTGTGATTTATTAAAAATATAATTTTTAGTTAAAATCAGGACAAAAAAGTCTTATCACAGATGAAAAAGTTATTTTTCAAAAAAAAATAAAAGAGGTGTATTTTTCAAAATTTAAAACATAAATAGAGTATTTTTCAAATTCTCCCTAAATAATTGGTGAGAATTATATTCAAACATGCATTCACTAAGAACAAGTTCTCTTGAGACGATCAAAACATTACGGTTTTCTCATATATGTATGTCTAGGTTCATTTTGACCGTATTAACAATAATATTGACTTTTGTTGTTTTTAAGCAATATTTTTCAAACTAATTTTCTTTATCATTATTTTAAAATCTAATTTTATTTATATTTGTTATTATATTTTAATATGTGAAAGCTCGAGTGATAATGAGGTAAAGTTGGGACAGGTTGTATTAATGTATTATTGTCTTCTGAATTAATGCATGAATTTGGGAGTTGTTGTGGCAGATTTTCTCACACGTCCTTCTATGGAGATCCATACATAATATGCATGGTCTAGTGGCTTAGTAGAAATGTCTTACTCATGGAGTCATGACAGTGGATTAGAATCAATTATGGTCATGGTCTCATGGAGTTAATATGATGACAATAACATCATAATAAAGGTATAAAAAGAAAATTGTTGTCGAGAAAAAAAGGTAAAGAGAAATCATAGGGTTGGTGGTTTTGTTAAACACTGTTTTTTAATCACTAGATAAGCTTTCTAATTAGGAATTACGCATATGCTTTTTAATATTCTTAATTATACCAAAAACTTGGCATCCAATGCATTGAAAATTCGATTACTAAATAGAAAATATTTATTAGTATTCGATCTAAACACATATAACATGAATATATAAAAAAAAATCTTTGTAGATCTAGTTGAGGAAATGAATCATTCCATGTATAAATGTTCACTGTTTGACTATTTATAATTTCATTGTCAAAATCTAATGTATCATTTTCTCAGTTTTTGTAAAAGTGTAAACATAGACCGTATATATAAAATTTTAACCACTAGATTACGTTTCTTTGTTAAGACATCTTTTTTGTCATTGTAGATTAAACGGTTTATTTCTACATGGATCGGAAAAATAGATAGGCTAACTTTTGGTTTTAAATTCACCATTTTGTATTCTTTTGTAGACTAGTGTACCACTAGAGAAAAAAGTCCGGTACAAAGTGTAAAGTTGATCCATTGATTCCTTGTTGAGTTTGCCTTGCCCTAAACAATTGCAATATTTGATATTTTGTCGCTGAAAGGGTCAAAAATTATTTCCATTTTTAGGTTTTAAAGAAACAGAGCGAATCAATGAGGAAATATTTATTGTCACAGAAAAAAATGCCACCATCCAAAATTCACGCGATTGCCAAAAACACATCTTTCTTGGATAAGATAACAAAAGGTACGGTTCAATTTCCAACATTTATATTTGTCTCCTTTCCTATTTTGTCTTTATTGATTTATTGTCTGTCATATGTAACTCATCAGCAAACTTGATTACCATCTTCGAACTTGACATGAAGAAAAAAAAACTTTTATTTTGATGTTTATTTATTCATTTTCCTTGCTCCAAGTCTAAGACAACTATGAGAGAGTGAACCCGTAGAATTAAAAAACCAGAGATTCTTTCAACTAGAGAATAATCCATTGGATTTTTATATCAATGGGTTTGTTGAAACTTGAAAGTTAGCTTTTAATTCATCAAGCCAATGGTATATGATGTGTACTATGAAAATCACGAAATTGTGTTTAGACCTTATTTATATTTATAATTTCCTTTTCAAACAAGATGAAAGCTACTGTTATAATTATTCTATAAAAATTATATCCAAATTGCTTGATATAATATTTTCCTCGCAATAAGATAAAATTTCCTTCCCATTTTAGTATATTATGATGCCGATATCAATAATTTAGAGAAAGTGGGATTGTGATTATTCTAATTTAAATTTGGGGGGACAAGTGGACAACTTAGCCGTGACAACGACTAAACAATAGATTTAAAAAGAATCTTAATCATTGAGT